TTTTGGGGGGAGGAGTTTTACTTGGGAGGTTTTTTGTTGGTTTTTGTGGAATTCTTGGGGGGTTCGCATTTTTTTTGTTGGGAAGGGTTTTTTGGGGCCCAGGGCAAACTTGGGTTTTTCCTTTATCCGAAAATGGGGCTCCTTTTTTGTTTTTCGCCCCCCAGAGAAAAGGGGTGTGCAGAGGGGTCTGACGCTGCATCGGCCACACCAGTCGAATATTGAGGGAACACAGCTGTTGGTGTTTTCTCGTCGGCTAACGAGGGTTTATGGATGGAATGAGGGTACGTTCAGTGCCTTGTAGGGCGGAGTGAGCGTGGGTAGAGGTTCTGTGATTGGGAAGCAGGGGGGGGGGGGCGGTACCTAGTCTACCGGTAGTAGTCGATGTCGACCCAGGCTTGGCGGAAGAGAAAGCCAAAAGATGTATGTATTTGTCATGATCGCGCCAGTGAGATGAAGGAGAGACATTGGCAGATGGCTGGGCAGCTACATGCTGTGTACATGGGAAAGAGAAGATGCATAGCATGGATGGATGCATGGATGGACTGATGGGCCCAAGCTGCATGTCTAGCCAGGAGGTTGGATCTGTTGGGGGTTGTGGTGTGATGGGGATGCATGTGGATGTGGGCATGTGGAATCTGGGACTGAAGTCGTTTCAAGGTATTTTGCAGCTTCGTAAGAGGAAGAGAGTGGCTACGTGCCGAGAAGCAGCCAATTTTGCATTGTCATGGAGGTCCTGGTAGGGACACAGGATCGTCTCTGCGGTGATTGGTGGTTGGTGGCCAAGCCTGTTAACGTCGTACACACGGAGACTGCTCCGCCCGACAGAGACGTCACCCCGTTGCTCTGAACAAAGGGGAGGGAAGGGGGGTTCGTGTGGAGGGACTACGAGGTGGGCAGTGTGATGGGCGATGAAGGATGTGCACTGTGTTACCTAGGTCGGTAGACGAAGGCGGCCCAAAGCGGCATCTACTGCGACTGGGGTGAAGGAGGGATTTTATTTTTTCCTCTACTTAGCCAGCCAGGTAGAGTCACTTTAGTACTCTAGCCCACTGAAGAGACTTGGGCACGTGAGTACCATCTATTTAGGCCCCTACTTGTTGGATGCCTTCTCTAATTCCATGTACACGGCATAAGAATCTACCGAGGACAGTGTGTAGTCTGCACCATTCACCTACAGTCGCACGGCGTCTCGCAGCATCCAAGTCATCCATCACACTGATCTGCCCTTCCCCAGACGGCGCTCGCTCTCCACCCGAGAGAGAGAGAGAGAGCATCTACCAACATACACAGTACCCATACCTCCGCCTACACTACACATCGCTCGCCGTTGGGGATATCTCCGCAGTGGGACCGATCTGCCCGCCAACGGATGGCTGGAATCGGTAGGCGTAGCAAGGTGATTGACTACCCAACTCTAGCGCAGGAGGGACTCTTCCCCAGTTCCATCACGAACTTACTTATGTAGGTAAAGGCACCGCTTCTGCAGCTCCCTCGCACATTTGTCTTCTGATACCCAGTTGTACCGTAACGTGCGCGTCTCCACCGCCGGACGATGCTGGAAGTTTGCCATTGACCCTCTACCTCCCCCGGTACGGTGCCCACCACCTCTTGCTCTGCCCTGACGACAACTCCACGCCCTCCCGCCCATGCGCGCCCATTGCGGCCAACACTCGCTCTGCGCGGGTGCCCGCAAGCTCGTCGTCGTCGTCGTCGTCGTCGTCGTTGTTGTTGCTTGCACGTGGGCCACCACCGCACGCGCCACCGAATTTCTGCCACGGAACATCTCGAATCCACCCGGCTACTCGCTGCTACCGGGCGTGACCCAAGTCCCGGCCCCCATCCCCGTTGTCCCGGACGAGCAGAACTGGGCGGGCATGGACGGTGCCTGGAACACCTTCAGCCTGCGCGTCGGCTCGCAGCAGACCAACACCAGCGTCTTGGTGTCGACGGCCGCGAAGCACATCTTGCTCGTGGATGCCCCGGCTTGCGCCCAGAACGCACAACAGGATTGCGAGGACAGCCACGGGCGCTCCTTCAACCACTCGCAGTCGACGACTTTTCAGGAGCTCGGCGATTACGAGCTGGGCTCGGATGGGTACAGAGGCCTCTCTGGCACCGGCCATTACGGGCTTGACACAGTCCGTCTGGGAGCGGATGGCCTCACCCTGAACAGCACGACGATTGCGACCATGGGCGCCAATTCCACCCTCTCCACACCAGCAGAACCCTGGCTGGGCTACATCGGACTTCAGTCGCAGGCGACCGAGTTTCCGCGCAGCTCCACCAGAGAGAGCTACATCACCCAACTTTTCCAGGCGATGAGCATACCTAGCCAGTCTTTTGGATATACAGCAGGCGCCCGGTACCGCGTCGGCAAGGAGCCAGCTTTGGCAAGCTTGACCCTCGGTGGTTATGATGCAGCTCGCTTCGCCGACACGCAAACCAACTATGCACTCGACAGCGAGCAAAGACCAGTAGTCGGCCTTGTGGGACTCTCATCACAATCTCCAGCCTCCAACGGGTTCGACCTCTTCAAGGCGAACACGGCTAATGTGGCCATGGTCATCGATTCCACCGTGGCTGAGATTTGGTTTCCCATTGAGATCTGCAAAGCGTTTGAAGAAGCGTTTGGGTTGACGTACGATGAGACCACGAATCTGTACCTGGTTGACAGCATCCTGCACGCCAGACTGCTAGCCCTCAACCCTGAAATCACGTTTCTCATCACCAACACCAATACCCGGGACATTGTGGATTCCAACGCCTTCTTGCTTCCCTATGCGGCCTTTGATCTTGAGGCGCAACCGCCCTATCAGAATCTCACCGAGGCAACGAGATACTTTCCAATCCGCCGGGGGACTGACCAAAGCCAGTGGATACTGGGGCGCACATTCTTGCAAGAGGCCTACCTCAAAGTCGACTGGGAGAGATCTGTGTTTTCAGTCCATCCGCGGGTTTGGGATGATCGGCCCTCGAACATCTCCGCAGTTGTCTCACCCCGTTACGGCCGGGCCGAAGATGACCCACCGATATCGAGTAGCCCGTCTTACCCGCCACTTTCGACTGCATGGATCGTGGGGATTAGTTTTGGCTCCGCCATCGTATGCCTGGCACTTGCCGCGGTCGCCTGGTGGTTCTGGCGGTGGCGACGAAGACGGCGACAAAAGGTAGCAGCTCCTGCCCGAGAGCCTCAGCCAATTGCTAGACCTGAGACACCACCTCTAAACAGTCCCCGGGGCGTACCGGATGGAGGAAAAGATGTCAGATTTCACGCCCAGGCAGAGCTGCCAGGAGCACCCAATGAGCATATTGAGAGGGATCCTTTTGTCGATCCCAAACCTGCACAAGCACAGGACTTTTTCTTTGAATTACCGGGTGACATGCCCGTCAGCGAAGCCGACGGCCGCCAACTATCCGAAAAGGAAACCATGGTCGTTCGGGAGCGAAACGTAAACGGGGTGGACCCGTGCGAACGCGCTGGTTCCCCTGTATCCATCACTGCATCAACCAGGTTATACCCGGCTGTCCCGCTAGATGGGGTCGCCATGTCTGGTCGCATGTCCTCGAGCCGCAGGTCGAGGAAGAACCACAGAGTTTCGTGCTCGACGGGCGCTTCGATGCAGGATGAAATCGAGTTGCCGCCCTATCGCACAATGGACGATGAATCGCGGGCGGCGGACAATTCACGACGACGATTTTCATACGAGAGTTAGATGTATTTTCCCCATGTAAATTAAAGAATTTTAATATCGCGTTCGGAAAGGTTCTATTTATACTTTTTCACGTTCTTTTCGTTTTGTCTTCTATACGCACAGCTGGTACCCCTGTTATAAATGTATATAGTATAGTACTCGCGTTAGAGCTTAGCGTCTATGGGATGGAATGAAGTGGCAGCTCAAATGCTATACAAAGGTTTTCCTAGCGCACTGCAAGCGTGAAGACTGTCTTTTTGGGTAAGGGGAGAACAGTTCATTCTTACCATGCATTAGATGCTGGACATAACCCGACTGTCTACGTGAGATGATTGCTAAACTTGTGCCTACTAGTTCCTGTGTACTGTCCACCATCCTGGTCTGCACCGTGCACCCCAGCATTGACCACAAACTGTGGCAGTGATTAAAGCTGCATTCTTAGATGCTTTCAAATCGATCTTGACGCGGTTCTGGCTAGTCGACGTCGTAGTTGTCGATGTTTTCGTATAGGAGACTAGAATTGCTTTTTGGGCAACTGTGAAATGTCGATTGACTACTTCATGTAAATGTACTGCGGGCGGGCTGCCGCTGACTTTGCCTACTATTGCCTACCTTTGACTTGAATGAGGCGCTGGTCTTGCGATCTCTACCTGGCAATAGGACTTTTAGTAACCATAATAGAGTTGACACTTATGGTACGACTGGTTAACGTCAGACCTGTACCGTATACAGGAGGGTAGTAGACCCTTTTACAAAATTACGAATAATAGCCAAGAGGTAATACCATATTACGCGTTACAAGAACATTACGTTTGATCGCGAATAGACGTGGACAAAGAGCCAGCCCCAACTCGCGATTGGGTCGCTGGTAGTAAATAGCAATGAAAAAGAATCTAGGTCCGTGGAATACAGAGTCTAAAGATCTGCCCTAGTTCAACTCAGCAAACACGTCTACTACATACACTTTCCCCTCCTACACCTAAGGAGTGTGGACGAGTCTCCCATCACGGCTAGGGGCTGGGAGCCTTCCCTTAGTCTCTTCTTCACTCGTTGCGACAAGTTGCTTGGCCTGTACAGCGATGGTGAATTCCGCAAGCTCTACTTAGCACACTCTAATAGCAACTCCTGTAGTATATAGACTGTTGCAGGAGGGATATCAACCAGATCACGGAGCATCTTGATCCGATCAATCCTAATCAATACCCCTGTATGACCCACTATCTGATTAACTGCTAGCTTACTGCCAAGTGCCTAACAAAAAGCAGGAGCTCTAGTAAGGAAGGTTTACTAATTATTTACCTTCTAGTAAAGGTAGCTAAAGCTCTATATATATAAGTCTAATCGTAGTAGATATAATCTAATAATCTATCTCCTAAATTATTCCTAACCTTGTAACGACTTAGGTAGGTAGGGCATCTGAAAGGTATCCTATACGACTCAAAGGCATATGGGAGTGCGCGTCTATATAGAAAAGGATAAGATTCCTACACCTATAGGTCTTGTACAAAAGGACAAGAAGAACATGCCTATCCTAACTATAGGCGAGCTATTCTCTATATATATTAGTAAGTCAGGCCTTTATTAGTCCTAACTTAGTATAGAATAATAGGTAGGCAATTCTACCTTATTATTATACTACCCCCTCCTATAGAGAAAGTGTGGAAATTTAGATTACTAAGGTTAGGAATGATTTAGGAGATAGATTATTAGATTATATCTACTACGATCGTACTTATATATATAGAGCTTTAGCTACCCTTACTAGAAGGTAAATAATTAGTAAACCTTCCTTACTAGAGCTCCTGCTTTTTATTAGGCACTTAGTAGTAAGCTAGTAGTTAATTAGATAGTAGGTTATATAGGGGTATTAATTAGGGTTAATTAGATTAAGATACTCTATAATCTAGTTAATATCCCTTCTATAACACACCCCTTAGGTATAGGTAGATCTTTTATTATTATAGTTACGCTTATAGTTAGTAGGTAGTATAGCTAATTAGAGCGTTATATATCTAAAGGGTTAAATTAGCTTACCCTTTAGATACTAACTAGCGCGCCTTCCTTATTTAGCCTGCACTTACGCGTGTAGATATTATCTAGACTAAGCTCTATAACTCTATCTACCTAACTATAATCTTTACTATAGCTTAAATTATAAGATTATATAACCCTAAAGATTTAAACTATACTTATATCCTTACTAACCTATATCTTAGTTAAAGTTAAAAACTACTACTTACACTTACTTTACTTATACTACCCTTATTACCTCCTATATAGCTAAAGCTATAGTTACTAAAGCTACTACTACTAAAGAAGAGTATACTACTACTAAGTATAAGGCTATTATAGAGTGTGTAGTAGCTAAGTACGTAGCTACTACTACTATAGTTAAGATTATAAAGCTAAGGAAGGGCGCTACTGCTCTAGCTCCTACTACTCTAGCTCTAACTCTAGCCTCTACTCCTCCCTAGACCCTACCCTATATCCCTACTCCTACTCCTACTCCCTCTCTAGCTCCTAAGGAGACCCTAAGATCCTCCTATTATAGAGAGCCTAGTATTTATTATACTAAAACTTATCTAAATTATCTACGCTCTATACTCTTTAATAAGTCTAATAGTAAGTGCTATAACTCTTCTAGTAGGGGGACTTAGTACTAGTAGTGCTTCTCTAGGTATAGCTATATCCTAATATATATAATCTATATAAGAATTTTTCCTTTATAATACTTAGTAAGATCTATATTAATAAACTAATAGCCCTAAGCTTGCCTAATATTCTACGCTATCCTTCCTAGTAAGGAAGTAGGTAGGTAAGAGCTAAGACCTTCTTAAGGATAAGAAGTAGAGGGTCTTAGTACTCCTTAAGGAGAGCAAGGCTAAGTAGCAGGAGCTAGTAAAAGCTGCTGCTACTACTACTAAGCTTGCGCGCAAGGCTACTATAGTAGCTAAGGGCGCCTAGAGCTCCTTATTAGAAGATAAGGACTCTAGCTCCTCTAAGGTTCCCCCTATAGATTCTAGGATAGGGTAACCTAGGCGGCTCCCTATAGACTCTAAGGCACGCTTTGCGCGTGTAATAGAGCTCCTTAGGGAAGCTACCTAGTTAATAATAAAGAGGTAGGCTATAGTTAGTTATTCTTATATTATATATTAATAGATCTTATATACTACCTTACTTTAATTAATATAATATAATATATACTCTACTATTATATAACTTTAGGTGCTCCCTAAACCTTATAAATTATTATATAGTTAGGTTTTTAGTAAGCCTATTAGCTAGTATATTACTAGTAGGTAGGTAGGTAATATAGAAAGATCCCTTTTTATACTCTTATCTAAGCTACATGTTTTAAATATCTATATAGTGTAGCTTAGTAGTAATCCTTTTATTATTACCTACTACTAACCTAATAGTTTATTAATTATTATAATTAATTATCTAGGTAGTATCTAAAGTAAGGTGTATTTTAGTTAAAAAGCGTTTTAACGCTATTACTTCTTTGCTTACTTACTTAAGCGCAAGGAGCTCTACCTTAGTAGTTAAAGTAGTAATAGTTGCTTATTAAGCTACCTTCTAAATAATAGGTCCTTTAAAGAGCGTAATTAGGTATCTATATAATAATTGCTAAGTATTAATATTATTAGCAAATAACGCATTACTATATATTATAAGCTTATTAGGATCCCTATTCCTATATTAGATTAATTAGTATTAAGTTTAGTATAGATAGACAATTACTTAATTAACTGTATTAAAGTGTTATTTAGATAGGTTAGTAAGGTATTAGGAGAGCTAGGAGGCTACATAGGCAATATTAGGGCGCACTATAATTAAGGTGTAAAGGATTAATCTAACGCGCTCCTAATAGTCCTTAATCTCTTTTTTAGTGGCTTCTCCTATACTCTTTTTAATATCTTTACTTAATAGTAGTATAGTAGGGAATTTTCCTATCTCTACTAGATTAAATTTCTTTACAATCTTATTAATATATTTATTATAAACGAGCGTTATTATCTATCTCTTTCTATCCTAGATTACTCTTACCCCTAGAAACTAGCTTATAGGTCCCTTTTCTTCTATAGTATATCTTTGCTTTAGAGCTTAGATAACTTTATAAGCTTAACTTGCGTAGTTTTAGTAATAGAGTAATAGGATATTGTCTATATAGAATATTAACAAGATACTGCAATCTCTATTAAAGAATAGGCATAGTTCCTCTTTAGAAGCAATAAGCTTATTTTCTTAGAGTGTAGTTAAGAGCTTATTATACTATAATAATAGTAAGTCTTTTAGTCTATATAGAGCTTATTTAAGCTTAACGCACTTCCTAGGTATTTAATATCCTTTAGGTAGCTTATAGATAACTATAGGGTATTAATCCCTTAAGGCGTTAAGGAAAGCTCTAACAACGTTATATTAATATATCTTAAGGTTAAACTTAGCTCTAATAGCTATTATAGTCCTAAAGGTTTAAGCTACTAGGGCAGCTACATAGGTTGAATAAATTAAGTTAGTAAGCTATAGATCTCCTCTTACTACTATCCTTGCTTTGCACTTAATTAGGTAACTATCCTAATTAAGCTTATATGTAAACACCTATTTAAGTAGGAGTAGACGCTCTCCCTTAGTTAGCTTATTAATCTCCTCCTAGGTACTAGCTTTTAGTAGAGTATTAATTTCTTTATATACTATATCTCTAAATTACTATCCTATTTAGTAGTTATAAAGATCCTTCTATTATTTTAGCTCTTTTTATAGAGCGTTCTAGTGCGTATTTCTTTTAGGGTTTTTAGGAGATTTGCTCCCTATCACTACTATAATCACAGCGTGGATTATAATATTTAGTTTAGGATATACTAAAAGATTGTATAAGGGATTTCTAATTAGATCTATATCTAATAGACCTATTACTATGTATATCCCTACACTTATAGAGCCTCCTAGTAGTTTATTAGGGTCCTATCCCTAAGCTTGCTTACTAACACGCGTTAGTGGCAGTCCTTTAACTTGTAGTT